TCTTTTGAATGCATTACGCTTCTGCATCTTTGTCTTCTCAGCTGCTGCTGGTTTAATTCACCTTTGATAGTGTTTTCTGTTGATCCAAACTCAGCACATGCTCCATGTTTGTTTCCTGTTGTCTGGATGAACTCAGGACGAAGTACGATGCCACAGCTTTAACTCCATCAGTACAACAACAGTCGTGTCATACTCTTGACACTTCCTGCATGAATGTTTCACATTAAAAGCTTCCCAGTGGCTGAAAAGTCCCTTCTTCTCCCGCCAGGCTTTTAATAGCTGCAGACGAGGGTTGATTAAAGGTGTTGTAACCACATTATAGGAAAATGACTCCTGATGAGAGAAGGCTGTTGTTTGAGATTGAGCCGTTTCACCGTATTTAATCAGGTCCAACTTGAACACACTCAGTTTGCTCTTTATCTCTGTTGTGAAGGTTCATCAGTCACAGTCCCACTTTTAGCTTTCCTCCATGCAGCAGCTCAGAAGCGTGAATGAAGAGGTTTACATGTCTGGACCATCTATCAGTGCCGGCTGTAACCTAGATTCTGAGGATGAGGCTGCTGCACGGAGGCCTGGGGGCTTTTACTGAGGAGACTGATTCTGAAGGATGAAACACAGGTCAACAGGAAGTCTACAGCGTCACAGATCAGCTGCTATCAACACGTTTCTATAGGGGTCTGCGTGGTGGAGTCGCTGGGTTGTCATGGAGATAGCGCATTTGGTCACATGACATGGCGGTAACCCTGTTCCTGCTCTTCATTCAGTCTCCTTACACATGTGATGTCATGATGATGTCATGCTCCACACCTGGGGCATGTAGTTGAATGATTTGTACTCAGTGCTGACGTCCCACTGCGATGCTTCTGTTGACTCCTGTTGAGTTAGCATTAGCCTGTTTTACACAGGGGGGGGGGCAACATGGCGGCTTTGTTTGATTCATTGTGAACGAGTGAATCAGACATAATGAGGGACCCGTTCTTTTTTTTAGAGTTTCTTTTTTGGCGTTTCTGCTTCATTTATTCATTATTCATTATTCACTATAGCGACAGTAGAGATAGACGGGACACTCTCAGGACAGAGAGGGAATGAACCCCGGCCACTTTGGGAAGGACTCAGCCGTAGCACATGGTGCCGCTCCACCGTGGCGCCTGTGAGGCATCCTGTTAACAGATATATAGAGTGGGATCTCTGTGTAAAACAGGCTGATGGTTTTATGTCCGGTTGGGCTGAAAGTCCCAGAAAAAATAAACTGTTAAAGTTATTTTACCAAACTGCTATTCCTGGAGTCAAGAATGAACTTCACTGAGACTGGTTGGATCAGACTGAAGATCCAGTTGGCAGGAGACACTTTGTCCTGATTACCAACTGGGCAACGCAACAACCGGTCCCCCAGTCCCTCTGGAGCCTCATGGCAGCTTCACCATGTGGCACTTAGTCCTGGATAATTTCATCACTGCCACATTTGTTTGTTAATATTGTTTTTACCACACGAACAAAATGTACTTTATTAGTTTAAGTCATTGTGAGGCCCATCTTGTAGAGGAGTTTCAGTGCATATTACACTCACATTACATTACAGGGCATTTTACTAAATACAGGGAAGTTAGCATAAACTAATTACAGTTTGCTAACAGTCACAGACACAGTGGACAGAGTGGGAGTGGTGGGTCTGCCGCTCTCCTCTGCCCTGAGGTTAATGGGTTAATCTGGTCTAGGATCACAGGATTTAAAAGGCTAAATGCAACAAACAAACACAACAATCTTAATTAGGGCTTTAATGTTTCTGTAGGCAGCTTGATGGTATCACTGCTGAGACTTTCACTTTCTGAAAACAACACAAATAAAAAAATCCTCCCAGATCGAAGCTTGAAATATTTCTTTACATATTTGTAAGTTGAGTCAAAGTTTGTGTCATCTCAGTTCTCCTCATCCGCCCTCTTCACCAGTCGACCTGAATAAATCACTGTGGCACTGCCTGAGTCTGTGGGTTTCAGCTCCGGGCCTCGTCGTGACCGCACACGCCGAGCGGCGCACATGCACGGTCACATGCACGGTCACACGCACGCTTCGACCCGCTGAGCTGTATTCTCCGACAAGACTCGATGCATCTGTGTGTTCGGCCAGGTGGAAACATTCAGACCAGGCAAGGGCAAGAGGTTGTCGGTACAAATCCCGGCGGGGGGGAACCTGTAAATTAAAGATTTATCCCTCAGTACACTGAGTGTGAAATCGGCCAAGTGCTGGAAACCAAACTGTGGGCTCAGCGGGGGGCGGGGGGCGTCTCCTGGAGACCGGCAGCCACAGCGGTGTAGTCCTGGACCTGACTGACTGAGAACACATGAGCTTCAGGCAGCAGCACCGGGCCTGCAGTCAGACCCTCATGCTGAGGAATAGGTTCTGTGTCTGTGCTGAGCTGTTTGCAAACATCCTGCTGACACCGCTGCATCATCATATGCTGCTGCTTTATCATCTAACCCTTTATTTCCAAGGCTTGGTGAATCCACCACAGCTGCAGTTTGATAGAAGGAAAAGCTCTGCTGTCACTGCTCCGCACGTTTCAACAGATCTGCACTGGAAACTTTAACACACCTCTGATAGATGGAAACAGCAACTGCTCACAGCTAACTCAGCTTACTGTTAACAGTAACCGTAGGAATCATAGAGTAACTCTCGATATTCTGGGATGTTCATCTGTGATACATCAACATATGTACTGTGTGTATATGTATATATATATATATATATATATATATATACTATATATATATGAAGAATATGAAGAAAAATAAAAAGGCAAAAAACAGGAATCATGTTTATCCACTGCACTGAGGTGACAGTTACACACACACACACACACACACACACACACACACACACACACACACTAAATAAATTAATACAAAAATAAACATTTTTGTATGAAATGAAATAATTAATTCAACACAATTAACAAAAAAAAACTAATTTCAGCACTTTAATAGTGTATAGTATATAAAACTGTGTGTGTGTGTGTGTGTGTGTGTGTGTGTGTGTGTGTGTGTGTGTGTGTGCGTTCAGTATCATTAGCAGCAGACTGCTGACCGCTCCTCTCCTCGTCATGACACCTGTGTGTGTTAATGTCCAGGTGTGTGTCGGAGGAAATAGATCCTGACTGTTAGAGGGAGAAATACAATATTTTCCTGTATTGATATTTTGTTCCACCCTTACTGAAAAGAGAAGACGACCCCCCCATGGGAAAACACCTGACTGTACCTGCAGCTGGCGTTACGGAAACACACGAGCTTTAACCAGTCTTACTGCCATGAGCAGAGATGTTTGAGTTCAGCCTGGTGTGTAGCTGTGATCTGTTGTTGTAGTTTATCTTGGACGCAGCGCAGCGGTCAGTTGGATAAAGATGTTGCCATTAAGTTATTTCATCCGTGTTGCAGCAGCAGAGACGCAGCAGCCTCCAAACGCTGCAGTGTGTCTGATCTCAGACCTGTTTCATTATTTGTTGATACAGAGCTTCGTTGTTTTCACCGCACTTACTCTGTCCTGCCCCGTCCTGCCCCGCCCTGCCCCGCTCTGCCCCGTCCTGCCCCGTCCTGCCCCGCCCTGCCCCACCTGCCATGATGGAGAAGAAACAGGAACAACAATATATCGATTCATACACAGCAGTGTTTTTATGTTGGTGCATTAGTACAGAAGAGGAGACATAAGACTTAAACAGAGCTACAGGGAACAAAACATACAGCACAATACAAGACAGTTGACTGTAACTTCAAAATAAAAGCACGTCAACCTCTGCAGTGGATTTTATAAATAGTGTTCATCATTTTGACAGCCCATAATTAAAGTGTCATTTTAGAATTCACTTTTCTTTTATAACTTCACAGCAACACTTCTTACTCATCTAAATGCATGGAGGTTTGATCAGGGGCTCCCACAGCTGCTGGACCTACAGTAAATATTAGAGGCAGTTACTTTGGTCGGGGGGGGGGGGCTGGACTCCCAGCAGCACTAGCTGTTAGCTCAGAGAGCTGGAGCGCTCTCAGCTGGCCTGCTGTGGGACTCTGGCTCTGGTATCTGAGCAGTCTTGATGTTGGAGCGGCTGGTGTGGCAGTAAACGCTGCTCTGTGTGAGCTGCAGTCTGATGGAGGACGGGGCTGGTGTAGTGAGGCTGGCAGGCTGTGGAGCTGTTGGCAGCACAGAGCAGCAGCTGTCACATGTTGACACTGCACTGAGTTGTGGTGACAAATACTGTACATGCCAGATGAAGCGACCACTGGCTGCTGATTTTGCATGTTTGTTTAAAACATAAAACATTTTGTTAGCTCAGATTTTTCTCTGGGTGTTTCCCAAACTTGAATCCTCAGAAAATAAACTGAGTTCAACAGGAAGGTGAGAAGAAACGGCAGGAGATGGACGTGTCAACAAGGCAGGAGGTCACTGTTTCCTAAATCTGGAGACTGTACGGCATCTTCACAAACACATCTATGAGCCAGAGCCACTCTGTTACAGTGGGACACACACACACACACACACACACACACACACACACAAATACTCACAAGAGAATCAGATTAATCAATTAATCCTCTGCAAAAAATAGTCCCCAACAAACTGATAAAACTGCAGTGATCAGCTCTTTAAGGAAATGACTCAGACTTTTAAAGATAAAACTACAGAAACAGATGAACAGACACTGTGAGAAACTGCTGTATAATATAATAAATAATACTGTAGGAAACCATCTGCTGTGCCTCGTGCATGGTGCATTGTGGGATATGTCTTTATCCAGTCTACATCAGTGAATCAGGGATGGATCGAACTGTCGATGTACAGACTGTATGTTCCCGTGTGTTTCACAGCTGTGGGTGAACGAGAGAAAATGGCACCGCCTAAACAACAACAACAACAACAACAGCAACAACAGCAGCAGCAGCAGCAGCAGCAGCAGCAGCAGCTCTGCCTGACAGATAAACAGCTGCTCACTCTCTCTGTGTCTCTGTTTGTGCCAGATCACGATAACGGAGACTGTGCTGTTCCTGGTCCAGTACACATCCAAAGAGTTCGACCGCTCAGAGAAGACGGTGGCCACCGGGGACTGCTGTTACCTCAACCCGCTGGTGCGCAGGACCTTCCGCTTCCTCGGTGAGTGTCACACCTGTGTGTAGTTTGTAATCACTGTGAGCCGGAGCAGCACTTCACTGTGTGTGTGTGTTTAGACTCTCAGGTGAGTTTCACTGCTGCATATTTATGAATGGCCCCAGACACGACCACCGCTCCACCTCTAGAACTAAATGGGACGTGGAACATTTTCCAGATGTTGTTCAGACTGGGTGTTGGATGTTTCTTTTTCTGGATCACAAAGCAGAGTGCGACAGGTAGAGTGAGACGTTCTGTACTGTAGACTGGTGTGTTATCTGGGGGCTGGTTAACGATGTCGGAGCGAGGTGCAGCTGCTGGCTGGTTGGCGGAGCAGGGTGTGTCAGGCAGCAGGGGTGCAGCACAGTTAGCAGGAAGTCCAGGATGTTTTAGAGCCGTGGTGTTTTACCTCTTTGTGACTGAACGACGTGAGAGCGACGAGAGGAGCCGGACTGAAGCTGCTGCAGAGTCTGGAGCTGATTGGAAGGTGAGGAACAGGTGTGCATGGGAACCGGCAGGAACTGGAACTGGAGGTCCAGGTTTAGTCATGACCTTTTACCTTTCAGCTGCATCTCATGATCTCACTGGATGGAAGTGGCTTCGTTGTCATGGAGACTATTAACCCTGTTTCCGATTAGTTCAGGAGTGGACGTGCAGCAGCAGAGACCTGGTGCTGAACAGATCGTTCACCTCTGGATCCTCTGGTGCACCAGCGTTTGTTCCATTTACTTCACATTTATTTGTTATTTCACACTTTATTTACTGTCGTCCTGATTTATTGCTTCGCTGCCTTAGTTCTTATTTATATTTGTTTTGAAGTGGCACATACGTGGGCTTTAAGACAGCTTGTCAAATCCATTTTCTTGACCACCTCCCATTTTAAGTGTGGAGCGTTTTGCTTCAACAAGACGTTAACTTGATGTCAGACTGGTCCCTCTTCATCTCTGTCACACTCCCTAATGTCACTGACGCTGCTGAATCTGTTCTGTGACCAGCTGCTTCTTACTTTGTGCTGACCTCTTGTGAATGAGATCTGCTCACAGATGGATCAACAGGATCCTCATGAAGCCTGCTGCTACACACAGATCCACCTGCTCCACACGGATTCTACTTAACCCTTTCCTGCACGGTCCCCACAGTGGACAGCTGTTCACAGGGCTCTTCATCACCTCCTCGTACATGCCTGGGTTCGGATGCTGACGTTGCACATCAGTCACAAATATAACAAAACCCAACATTCAAGATGGCCGACCAAACGTCAGGTATGCTAAGCACATCAGGAACATCTGTCCAGTCCTTGTGTAGAAGAGGAGAGAAGAGAAGAGTAGGTGAGAAACATGGTGATAACATCAAGGGAACAAGATTATTGATAGATTTGTCAAATACTGTCATTGTGTTTGGAACTAATTACGTCTCTTGTGTTCGAGGCATTTGATCATTTTGTTTGTCATGAAATGTAACGTGTTAAAATCGTCTCTTTTCATTCAGCCAGTCCCAAAACTCACAGACCATCAGTTTACTATCACACAACAAAGACAGCTTCAAATCCTCAAACTCAGATGCTGCAACCTGCACAATGAACCATGAAGATAGACTCAATGATTGATCGATTATTGGACAGTTGCTGAATAATTCTTTGACCGGCTAATTGATTATTATTATATAGTATATTATTACATAGTATTTATTAATAACTGCAACTCTTCACATCATTATTATTATTTTGTAGGTGAAATTAATTCGGTAACTTTACAAAATAATATTGAGAGATAAATCAAACAGAGACAACGTGTCTGAGCAGAGCGGTGTATGTTAAAATATGGAGAGAGTATTTGTTTTACGGTCATGAATTAACTTTTCATTTTCACATGAAAAATACATGAAAAGTAAAAAATAAAATTCAAAGTGGTTTCTTTAATTTTCTTCAATAATTCATGGCAGAGACGTCAGAGGATGTCGACAAACCATGAGGCTTCCTGCAACACACACCTCTACAGACAGTAAAGGTGTGTACAGACATGATTCCAGGTGAAACAGCAGCAGACACACACACACACAGTCTCAGTCTGTCAAACACACACACTACAGCACAACACCGGCCTCTCCTCATCCTCTCCACCTTCAGTGAGAGCAGCAGATAAAGCTGCAGAAGAGGATTATTACCTAGATCCCTGAGGGGGAATCCAGTCAGTGGCCCGGCTTTACCCTCGCATTGACTCATCCAGCGTGCCATTCATGCTGCTCGTTAATGTTAACAGGACTCTCATTCCAGGCTAAAGCTGCTTTCATCCCTCACACACTGGAATTGGTTATCATGTATTATACTCTGGTGCAGTGTTATATCTGAATGAGGCTTATGTCTCAATGTTAATTGATGTCACTTTCAAAGAGCACAGAGCGGTGAGTCGTCTCGTCCCTGCGAGGCCGAGGGAGGAGGAGGAGCGACACCTTGAGCTGTAGCATTGTTTCTGGAGCTCCTCCTTCTCCGCTGCAGGAAACCTACCACATGGTGATCCGGTCCGATCCGGGGAGTACCGGCACTTTACTGTCATCCTGAAATTGCCTCGTAAAGTATATGGAGGCCATCCCAATTATCACTGTATACCTTACAGCCCACCACTCAGCGTTCAGGTCAGGGTAAGGACCCCATACACACATAAAAAGCTGCACGTTATGAATTGATAAATTCATGAGGTGATTATAAAGATCAGCTCCACCTGTGAGGAAGACGGAGCAGTGGAGCAGAATAGATTTGTGAAGGTCTCCACCTGCACTGGATTTATTCTCACTGGAACAGTTGGCTTCGATTTTTGATGATTTATACAAAAAAAAAAAGATCCGACAATTTTTCCAATTTTTATTTTCTGCCGAAGTTTTATTGCAAAAAAAACAAACATCTAAAAATGTCCCAACATTCATTATAAGAAAAGCTGCAGTGAAATCAGGTATTTTAGCTGCAGACATCCCAATAAAATGCTGAAATCCTGGAGGGGCTGTTCAACTTTTATAATCCTATAACTACAGGCGCTGCAGCAGAGGGAGGAGGACGGAGGAGATGACCTTTAGTGACCCTTGTCTGTGTTCTTCATTCAGCTTCACTCAGCAAAACTGTAGATGCTCACTTCAGTATTTGTTTATTTATCCCAGGTGACGTTGTCATGGCAGCACTGAACTGTGTCATCGCAGGTTTTCCTAGTTTCTACGACATATCGTCTGACCATGTCTACAGCTGTCTGTGAGGCAGAGCACGAAGCCTGGCATCACAGAGAAGAGCTAAATGGGACAGTGGTGAAGGACTTCACAGCATTGCACCCGGTTGGCCTCCGTTGTGATGTCAGAGGGTTTTGGAGGAGGAGGGGTCAGACGCTCCGACAGCGTCAGGAGTTTGTTCTAGATGTTTCCTGGATTCCTCTTGTTGTTGGTATTTCTGCCGTTATTATTTTTGTTGTTAGAGACAGTTGAGAGTGTGACGGCCTCCACTCCTCCTCCTCCTCCTCCTCCTCCTCCTCCGGAGTGATGGCTGACACCTGGTGGCTGCTCACCTATATGTGTATATATATATATACATGTATATATACAGTATATACAGCGGGGAAAATAAGTATTGAACGCGTCAACATTTTTCTCAGTAAATATATTTCTGATGGGGCTATTGACATGAAATTGTTACCAGATGTCGGTAACAACCAAAGTAATCCACACATACAAAGAAATCAAAACATATATGTCCATAATTTAAGTTATGTGTAATAAAGTGGAATGACACAGGGGATAAGTATTGAACACATGAAGAAAAGGAGGTGCATGGAAAACCAAGAAACCAGCTGAAATCTGTCAGTATTTAGAAACCAATCCTGCCCTCTGTCAGTGCAAATTAATATCAGCTGGTTTAGTCCTAATTGATGGCCATTAAAAAGGTTTCTCATTACCAAGGTGTCACACAATGGGCATCTCATGATGGGTAAAAGCAAAGAGCTCTCTCAAGACCTTCACATCCTTATTGTTGTAAAACATACTGATGGCATTGGTTACAGACGTATTTCTAAACTTCTGAATGTTCCAGTGAGCACCGTTGGGGCCATTATCTGGAAGTGGAAAGAACATAATTTCACCATAAACTGGCTGAGACCAGGTGTTCCTCACATGATTTCTGACAGAGGAGTCAAAAGAATGATCAGAAGAGTTTCCAAGAGCCAAGGACCACTCGCAGAGAGCTTCAGAAAGACCTGGAAGTAGCAGGTACAGTTGTTTCAAAGAAAACAATAAGTGATGCACTCAACCGCCATGGCCTCCATGCACGCTCACCACGCAAGACTCCATTGTTGAAGAAAAAGCATGTTGAAGCTTGTTTAAAGTTTGCTGCACAACATTTGGACAGGCCTATGAAATACTGGGAGAATATAGTCTGGTCAGATGAGACCAAAATTGAACTCTTTGGATGTCATAGCACACACCATGTCTGGAGGAGAAATGGCACATCACCCCAGAAACACTATACCAACAGTGAAGTTTGGAGGTGTGAACATCACGGTGTGGGGCCACACCCACACTGCTGCCATCTACCAGGATGCTGGCGATGAAACGAGGGTGGACATTTCAGCAAGACAATGATTCCAAACACACAGCCAAGGAAACTCTCAACTGGTTTCAGAGAAAGAAAATAAAGCTGCTAGACTGGCCCAGTCAATCACACGACTTGAATCTAATTGAAAATCTATGGAAAGAACTGAAGATCAGAGTTGATAGAAGAGGCCCCGGGAACCTTCAAGATTTGAAGACAGTTTGTGTGGAAGAATGGGCCAAAGTCACACCTGAGCAATGCATGCCACTAGTTTCTCCATACAGGAGGCGTCTTGAAGCTGTCATTACCAACAAAGGCTTTTCTACTAAGTATTAAATACATTTCAGTGAGCATGTTCAATACTTATTCCCTGTGTCATTCCACTTTATTACACATAACTTAAATTATGGACATATATGTTTGGATTTCTTTGTATGTGTGGATT